TGCGTGATTTTAGAAATGCGAATTTGTATGGGGAAATGCGTAATTTGGCTTCGCATTTATGTTTTCTCCCCCAAATGACGCATTTGGGTTCAATGTAAATGTAATATAAGCTTTTGCGACTGTCAATAATTATCTAATACGGCGTTTCCACGCTACGTAATTCGCTCCCTCATTCGTAATACGCTCTCCCATTCGTCATTCGCCTTGCCAACTACCTTCCGAATTACGTAATTCGCCGTACAAAATTTTGAGGGCGAATTACCTCATTTGTAGGTAATTCAGATCGAATTACCATGCGAATGACGAACGAATCGGTGCCTTCTCTAATATTTATCGAAGTTTTCACCGGCGGAAACCATGAACCAAAAATACAAGATCACGTAAGAACGCGACGTTGTATTTGTAAAGGCCCGTTTACATACAACTTTGGCGTTGCGTTGGCGTTGGCGTCGCTTCGACAGCTGACTATGAATACATGCATTTATATGAAAGTCTCCACATAACCAAAGTTGGGCAACGCCAACGCCAACACAACGCAGAAAGATGACCAACTCTCAACTTTTCGCGCGCGTCATTCGTCAGCTGTTCCAAATAATCAAAATTATGTGATTCAATTTTCATTTTTAATCAATTGCGGGCAAGAAATAAATTTTTTAATGCAATTATTGATGTAAAATTTTGGTTTTTCTGCCGCTAGTATGTTAATTTAGTGACCAAAGTATTCTCTGCTAAGCGTTCATTGTAGCAAGCACGGGCGTTACTCGCGCTGCTGTCAAATCGACGCCAGCGCCGACGCAACGCCAAAGTTGTATGTGGACGGGCCTTAACTGGTTTTGAGAAAAAAGTTTGCGAAAGCGGGTTCGTCAGCTGAGCGTTTGTTTACATCACAAGCACCACTATTTTACACTTTTATTCAAGTAAAGAAGAGTTAATTCAACATGACAACACATAAAGCATTTTGTTGCATAATTTTACCTAAATTGTGCGTTTAAAGTGGCTGACAATAATTTTGGCTAATTTTGGTTTTCGTTGTTTTCTTTGCTTTGTTTACTTTTCGCTCGTTTTCCAGTGAAACAAGATGGCGTAGAACCCGCTAAAAAAATTCGACTTTTTTCACTCTCTTGTTCTTACGTGATGCTGGCTCGTAGTCATAGTCAAAATAAAGTCGACTTTAAAGTTAGTTGCAGCTTTTTTGACAGATATCCCATTGAAAATTATGTCAAAAAGCTGCAACTAACTTTAAAGTCGACTTTATTTTGACTATGACTACGGGCCCTTGTGTCTTTCGTTCATGGTATGGGAGTACATTTTCGTAGTGGCAGAATTAACGCCTTGGCAGCCCTACAGTTAATCGGTGCAGTCAACGCCATTTATTTGTCATAAAATGTCTGTGGAAAAAATATATCGATGTTTATCTTGAATTCGATGAAAATCGGAGCACCGATTTGCATTTAATTTTTCAGGCATTAGTTTCAGGCTAATTACTAGCTAAATACAAATGTTTCTAAAGGAACTTTTAAAGATTTTTAAATTTTTTGGTCAAACTTTTCTATTTTGCATACATAATTGAAAATCTTTAATGGTTGTTTAATGTACTAGAATTGTCGAAAGCAAAACATCGATATATTGTATGCATCGATGTTTTTTCCAAAATACCTAAATTGCCATTTGGGATAGATTTGCTCCAGTAGTTTAGTGGAAATTATAAACGTTTTGCAGTAAAATGGCAAATTTTATGCAAAAGAGTGTGGTGACCTACGCTTGCACCTGTGGTCTTGTGAATCCAATAACTAAACTCTTTTTCTGTCGACACTGTTTGAAGCTAAGGTGTGGTTTTTGCGTCTGCCACGAAGTGAGTAATATGTTGCCCTTTTACGTTGACATCTAAATTTCATTCGATTTCGTATCCTATAATGCATCAGGTTGATTCGCATTTTTGCTCCAATTGCTTGGAGAACATACCCTCGTCGGAAGCAAAGCATAAAAAGAATTGTTGCACCAATTGCTTTAATTGTCCATGTTGTCAACATACTTTGTCCGCAAGAGCCACCATGGTTGTGGTTCCCAAGTAAGAATCATTTTTTTGTTTGTAGTTAAAAACTTATATTAAATTTGGTACAGGAAATCTGATGAAGCTCCTAAAGAGAGTGAAGGAGATGGAGGAAAGGTTGTAACGAAGAAAATGTATTATCTCTCATGCCTTGGTTGTCGGTGGACGTCCCGTGATGTGGGCATTCCTGATCAATCTGTTGGTAAGTAATGCCCCTAATACTCCCGAACGTTGCTCATACATAATTACATACTGTTCTACCGTAAGCGACTGGAGCTTGGCCGGAAAATGATTGTTCTTACCAGACACGCTTCAATGCGCTGTTGGAATACTACCAAGCTGTCGTCTTGCAAGACAAGCAAGAAAAGCAGGAATACTTAAGACGTAAAACACCCAAGGCACATAAATTTCCAAGTCTGACCGTATGTAAACAAGCAGAAGCAAAGTTGAAATGCCCCTATTGCGAAATGCATGAATGAAAATGTTCCAAATCGTCATTGACCCGTGGTTGCTCATATCTGACATTTCCATCAAATATACTTTAAGAATTGCGATAACTGATACTTTTTATTGATGCATTTCCGAAAAAGGGTGCTTGCTATAAATTTGAAAATTGGTTAATCATAATAAATTATACTTGCTCGCCTCAGGATCGCACGGGTCTGACTGTTTCGATGATACGCCGCCAAATTGGCTGGCCAGATAAAAATACTCAAAAGGCAAAGCCGGTAAATATCTCACCATCAGTTGCCACTGAAGAACTTGAGGAGCTACCTGATGAGGTCTTTACGCAACCATTAAATCTCAGAAACGGTAAACCAAAAGTTACATTTCTGAAGAATAAACATGTAAACATTTTTTAACCGCCAATTGATTCTCGTAGTGAGTAATATTAAGCAACGTCATGGCCAACCGTCCGATCAGCCTTTCACAATCGACAAGCTATATCCACAACGTAGAATTCTTTGGATTAAACGTTCATTGCGATGCCGCCAGTGTGAACATAATGTCATTAAACCAGAATACCACCCTACATCCGTTAAATATCGTATACAACTTTTCGCTAATTACCACGTACCTGACGTTTTACTCGTCCGAACTGACCAGCTGTTGTATGCCGGAAAATCGAGCTCAATAACTCTTAAACTTACTAACCCAACAATGCATGATATGTCGATTAAAATTAAAGAACTACCGAATCATACTCAGGAGCTAGATATGATAGAAGAGTTTAAGCTCGCATGCAAAATAAAGGAAACCACGGCAACCAGTGCTGCTGCAGAATCGCTGAAATCAATAACGAGTTCGCCATCACTGACAAGCACTACACTTTCGAGACAAACTTCGCTGATAGAAGATCCACGCTTAGTGAAGGAGAAGACCAACGCCAAATTAGACACTAGTGAGATGACATTTGTGCTTAATCAGCGTGACGACTCCACAGAATTCGATGAAGATGTGGAAACACCTCGAGAGGAGCCAGAGTAAACTGCTGAAATATGAATATAAATCTAGACATATATGTGTATTTTGGTTTTATTTGCAGATTTATAATTTGGCGTAAATCAAATAAAGCGTCAATTCGTCTGAACTTCACTACTGATGAATCATTGAAAGTTGGCGAACTTGTTAAAGTTGGTTTCACAATGGAATACACTTATGTAAACACAGTGACCAATGCACCAACTTCTCATACCTTGAACGCGCGTGTGTTTATCGATGCCGGCCCGATCGTCGCCAATTAAATTATTACTATTTATTTTAATGAAGGAAATACGAATATCTAATTTTTTAATGTATAACGAAACTTGTGCTTTTAATGTTTAGAATTATCGCAAACTGTTTAGTTATGTATAACAGTGATGATTTAGCGGCTTAATTTTATTTTCGCTGTATCAATAACAAGGGCCGTGGGCTTTGGTACAGTACACATTTAATGCACATTTATGCATGCTGCTTCAAAGTGATAATCCAACTTATGCTAAAATAAAAAAATAAAAAAAAAACGTAGATTTATTTTTAAAGGAAACACAAAACTATATATGTACTTTAAATTGATTTATTTATTTTCTTCAACCACGATGCTCATACATTATAATCATGGGCAGCTCCAAAATGTTTTTTTTTATACATATTCAGCGTCGACACGGATCATGATTAAATAATTAAGGTTGGCCCACTAGTGACATTAGTGTTTAGACTTTCTTACAGAAGGTTGCACACACGAGAAAGCTGATTTCTGACCAAACCTTTTATTATTGAATCATGGACACGGATATCATGTATACAAACATATATGCCGCTTTTTGTTATTGTAAGAGAATACAACTTTCACATATTTGTAGAAAATGTGACTGTCCATGGCGGGTTATGATTTCGACTCGCTTCGGTAGCACATGCTACTGCCTTCCTTTTTAATTTTCAGTGTAGTTAGCATTAGGGATATACAGATAAGAACAAGTATAATTGAATTTACAAGGGACACACAATTCATTGTTTGGTTTGTAGCAGATTTTCTATCATTTCAATAAGATCCACCAGGAGAAGTCCACCCAACTTAAATTAAAGTGCCATTTTTCGTCCTTCTATAGAAATTTCCACAGCGCGCCGCGATGATTTCAAACGTTTTGCGTCCAAAAACTTTTTCATGTGCTTTTCGAAGCGATTAGGCTTACGTTTTGTCGACTGCAATTAAAGTTTAAAGTCGATTTTATTTTATATACACTTTGGTTTACTCTAAAGCGATAACATACCGACGATATTTCCCCCCTCAACAGTTGATTTCGGGCGTACGACATAATCTTTATTGGATGGCAGAGGCACTCGTGCACGCGCCACCCATCCTTTGTCTCCAGGTCTTAATGGTGTTTCGTCCGAGTTCGCAAAAGCCGAATTCAAGCCCCTCTTCTTGCTGGTGGATGCAGTTGGCTGGGGTTCAGGTGATTTTTGGCGACGCGGCATCTGTGCTAAATCTCTTTCTTGTCGTTCTTCCTTCGACATTGCTTTGAAATCGCAGCTCAAATTGAAAATCGGTCGAGCCCATTCGGATATTAAACGGCCTGCACGATCTCGATTTGATTTTGTTTCCTGTGGATGCTTATATAAATACATGACAGCCTTTCCTATTCCCGATTGTTTCAAGTAAGTTTTGTCAATAGTGGGAAACTAAAATAATTGCACTTAAATAAGTATACATTCAAATGCATGAGCAACAATCTAGGACTCACGTCGGCCAGTAGTCTCAAAATGTTGTCGCGTATTTGCATACAAGGTAAGCTTCTGTTTGGTAGTGGTGCCAACCAATCAGTAAGCACATTCAATATATTATGCTCCAAAAACGCTAATTGCAAATCCTTCTTAATAAGCTGTGACATGACCACTTTCAGCATTGAGATCTTTTTGACCGCTGGTCTACCCTCCATGTTCAAGTGTCGGTCTTCATCGGCTGCGTTTTTCATACCTACGATCAACTGATCAATCAGGTCGTCATTGTCGTTTATCAAGCTGATATCACGTTTGCGACGACGCACACGCTTTTCTTCCTTCTTTCGTAGTAACATGGCATCAAAGTCTGATATAAAATTATCATTTCTGAAAATTTACAAGCATTTTTTGTAATAAAAGTAAATGTGAACATAAATTTACTCATTATATATGAATGTACGTACTCTCGCCTATCGTCAATCGGAATATTTTCATCATCTGAACTGTCCTCCCCTTTTTTCTGCTCAGAATCCTTGTCCCCCTTTGCAACTTCGTCCTTTTCTTCTTCGTCCTCATTGTCGGTGTCAGTTATTTTTGCTCTCTTAGTGGTAGACGAAGGCCCTTCATCTGAATTGTATATAGATTTTTTTAAATTTTGGAAATGTTCAGTTTCAAAAACGAAATATGTATGTATGTACAAACCTTCGGAATCACTTAAGATATTTCTCTTTCTTCCTTTTTTTAATGTAGGCGACCCTGAGCCTGACCTTGAGCGACTACCAGATTTTGACCTAGAGCGTGCAACCGATCCTGATCGAGATCTAGATCTGGACTTTGAGATGCTGCGACTGTGGCTTCGGCTACTACGGCCACCAGAACGACTTCGAGACCTTGGTGAACGGCTGCGAGAACGCCGAGAGCCACTATGAGACCGCCGCGAGCCGCTACGAGACCTGCCGGATCCACTTCGTGAACGTCTTGATCTACTGCGAGAGCGAGCCGAACCGCTATGAGAACGTCTTGAGCCACTCCTGGAACGTCTAGAACCACTACGTGAACGACTTGAACCACTCCGGGATCGCCTTGAACCACTCCATGAGCGTCTAGATCCACTGCGGGAACGTCTAGATCCACTGCGGGAACGTCTAGATCCGCTGCGTGAACGTCTAGAGCCACTTCTCGAACGCCTGGATCCACTTCGCGATCGCACTGATCCACTACGAGAGCGATGGGAGCCACTTCGCGAACGCCTTGACCCACTTCGCGAACGCCTGGATCCACTTCGCGATCGCACAGATCCACTTCGTGAACGAACGGATCCGCTACGAGAGCGGCGGGAGCCACTTCGTGAACGTCTTGATCCACTTCCGGATCGTATAGAACCGCTACGGGAACGACGTGAACCACTACGGGACCTTTTCGAACCACTCTTCGATCGTGCAGATCCACTACGTGATCGTTTGGATCCACTTTTTGAAAGAACAGAACCACTGCGGGAACGATGCGATCCACTGCGAGATCTTTTTGAACCACTTCTTGAGCGTGCAGAACCATTGCGAGAACGTCGTGAGCCGCTTCGAGAGCGACCTGAACGAACTGAGCCACTGCGTGATCTAGAATGTTCTCCCGATGCGCTATTTCTACGTTTATCTGCAGATTTCTTTATTTCATCTTTTGCATTGCCATCTCCAGATGCAGGGCTCAAACTACGACTGCGACTACGACTACTCCTATTGCTTTCTTTACTTACATCACCAAGTTCAACTTTTTCACTTGGACTGGTACTACGACTACGACTTTTTGGTCTAGCGCTAACATCTCCATTAACAATTTCTTTTTCCACGTTTTCACCTGTGATATCAACTTTGGCCGGTGATGCTGGTGCTTGTGGGCTTTGTGAGCGTGACTTTGATGGCGATTTCCTTGAGTCATCAGCAGTCTTTTCAACATTAACAATGGTGGGGCTTTTACTACCCTCCTCATTGCTTAAATGGTTTTCCTCATCGATTACTTTAACGTTGGCTTCTTCGCCTTCAGTTACCTCATCGATTGCTTTAACGTTGGTTTCTTCGCCTTCATTTTCCTGAGTAGCAACAGTTGTATCATCTTCTATAAGTTGTGGCTTTTCGGGTAGTGCTGCTGAAGTGTCGAGTGAAACCTCGGCAACTGCGTTTGCATCAGAACCTTTTTCACTAACTTCTATATCTGGAAATTTCATCGAAATATGTAAACTTTTGTTAAATACACCCTAACCTCACTCTTGCTGTAGACTTTTTGGAACATCGTCCTTACCGTTTTGTGTGCTTTCCATAGTTACAAATAAATTCTGCAGTGGCTACACCGAATAAAACGGATTAAGCCTAAAATACTGATGCGATCCCAGTAAACCCACGTTATTTTTAACTAAACCCTAGACCTGAAAATTTACGCTTTTTGACACAAACAATTATAAAATTATTGTTAGATATGGACCCGTCAGTCGAGTACATAATCGATAAATGTGTTTGACGCACTTGCAGCAACACGCTTCAATTTATGGTATGCCACTTTATATGGTATGCGATTTTTTTTTTATCATTTCTTCATGTGATCGAAAATAATAATACTAATAAATTGAATGTGAAAGAAAGTAAATATATTTTTGGCTTTCGTACTTATTTTAAGCAATTAAAAACCAATTTCACTTCATTACCTTATTGTTATTTATTACCCGGATGTAACGAGACCATGCGTATGTGCATTATCAAGAAAAATTCCGAAACATGGCAGCGCTGTCAAATTCATCACAATAGTGATTTTGGAATTACTTGTATTGTCATCAAAATATAAAAAAAAATATAAAAGTAAAACGGAATTGCATTGCAAAATAAGTTCTCACGATGAGTTATCGTGGTATTCCAGCCGGTTATGAGGACGATGAGGATTGGTTTAGTCTCTCAGATGGGATGCAAAAAATCACCGTCGTGCCAGACATCACAATCGGTGCGGGTCTAAACAGGGAAAACTTTGACCGCAGTCTCAGTCCTGACGTTGGCAACTGGTTCGATGGTTACAAGGAGCACTGGAATTCATGTGAGAAGTTTTTCTCCAGAGTTTTCACAGTTTCTTACCTAATAAATGTTTTATCCTTATATATGCATGTATGTACATACATATATGTATGTATGTTCTCAATGTAGACAAACGCACACCGTCTGCTCAGCACAATCTCATTGTGATGCTCATGAAAGATGCAGATCCTCTCCTCCTGGCCTTAAAATTATTCGCTAATTGTCCAGGGTGTAATAATTTAAAAAACAAGAACCTGGCACTATACAGTAAGACTTGGACTTTGAATAATTGGTACATCTTTATAGAACTAATGATTCTTTGTACATATATAGTACTAGAAACCATTTCCGACCTCCACAAACAATATCCAGATATATCGAATAAAAGCACAGACAACACGCGCATGGTTGCTTTCAATTTTGTGAAGACTTGCGGAATTGTACCGTTATATAAGGCTGTGATGACCACCTATGAATTGAACAGGATACGTGAACTGTTGGTGCCTAAAATAAAGGAACTAATTACACATGGGCACTTCAAAGATGTAAATATATAAATATAAATATATTATATTTCAAGAAATCTTATCAGCCTTTTTACAGGCGGCGTATTGGACAATGCACTTGCAAATTACGAATCTTTTTGACATTTTCGATATAATATTCCCTTTGATTTTACAAGACAAGGTGTCATTGGCGGAAGAGTATCTTACTGCAGCTAAAGATTTGACATTGCCAACCGTGCAATTTCTTGATTCCTTATTGGATAAACAAAAGACTGTTATGGAACACTGTGATGAAATATTAACGTAAGTTGGGTTCAGATAAATTTTTTTGCCTCTGTCCTAAGAATTAAAAAAATTTTTTATTACCTTATTTTGCTTTACAGAAAATATGAGTACAAAGATATCAAACATAATGTCTTAAGTTATCGTCCCATGTCTAAGTTAGTCACGCGTTTGGCGAAGAAATATAAAATTGATTCTCAATATACCCCCAATCTGAATTTTACAAAGTCTTGTTCGTATATGCATTACCTGTGGCACAAATACCAAGATGGTGGAATGAGTTGCGAGGCTTGGCGTGAATTAGCTCGCGATGCTGCCAGTACGAAACCATTACAATTAGATTTGATTTCAAATGTAGCAACTTACGGTGACTATGAGGAAGCAATCTTCTGGGTAAAGTACTTCAACCTACAGAAGGAAGAGTGTCCCAATGATATACGCCAGTACATGCAAAAGAACCGATCGATTGAGGATATGCACAACACTAGCAATGAATCATCTAATTCCGCTAATAGTGCGGGGGCAATGAACAAATCAAAACGTTCAACTTCCTTAACAGCAAATCGCTACTTGACACTAAATCTCCCCATTGAATGCGTTTTGATAATAGATGATCGTGTGAAGTTTCTTGACATGTTAGATTACTTGGAAGGCCAACTGCTTATCGCCTTCGATTCCGAGTGGAAGCCAACGGTTTGTAATGAAAATGTCATATCACTGCTGCAGATGGCTATTATGGATCGCGTCTACCTATTAGATTGCTTATCGCCTAACCTTAGTGATGATTTATGGCAGGAACTCGGACGTAGAGTGTTCAATAATTTGGAGATTTTGAAAATAGGATTTTCCCTGCATCAAGATTTGCGTATGTTGCACAAATCATTGCCGTTGCAATTAAACCTTAATTCGAAAACTTGTTATTTGGATTTGCGTGAGTTATGGCGACGTTTGAAGTACTTACAGATTGTCAAATTTCCATTTGAGAGTGGCTTCAATTCGGGAGAAAGTTTATGCGTGTTGGCCGAGATCTGCTTGGGTAAAAAGTTGGATAAATCAAATCAATGTTCAAATTGGGCCAATAGGCCGCTCCGTCATGACCAAATCGTATACGCTGGTGAGTAGAAAAACTCATAATAATTTCAATGCAATTTTCATCTTACATGTATATTTTTTCTTTTGTAGCCCTGGATGCGCACTGTTTGTTACAAGTTTATCAAGTGCTTTCAGAAATTTTAACACGCATGGGTTTAGATGTTGATCAAGTAGTTGATGAGGTTACAACTGGCAAAACAGGTTATTTGTTTCGAATGAAGCGCGTTATCAACGAGCAGTTCGACGACCCCAGTTCCGGTGTAGTTAAAATGAATGCGCAGAGAGTTAAAGCAGTTAATGCAAAAACTGAAAACAATGGGTAAGCATACTTGTTGGTATTCTAAAGTATATTCCTATATTTATTCCAATAAGTTCAATGATAATAATTTTAAGTTTTTTTTTTTTTAATATTTTAGCGGTATTCGAACGAAATTCATTTGTGACAGCATGCTATACGGCCTTTCAAAGGAGTTACGTAAGTTAGGAATCGATTGCGTGGAAGTAATCAAGGACGACTTGGATCACTATATTGATATCGCTAAAAGGGAAAATCGTTATGTACTTACACGGGACTCGCGTTATAATTTGTTTGTTAGTGAATTGCCACAAGAGCATTGTCTACAAATCCCTACTGATTCCAGCGTAGAACAAGTATTGAATATACTTCGGCTGTTGGACATAAAAATATATGAGAGTAATCTCTTTACACGATGTTTGAACTGCAATAGCAATGAATTTATATTAGCACTGAAGCATGAAATGCAAATAATACGCTATGGTCAGGCATTAGATGAAATGAAGGATGAAAGTGGTGGAAATATGAGTCCATACGAAAAAAATTTTCAATTATGTACGTGTAATAAACTCATCTGTTATTTACATAACTTTCGTTAACTTTGACACATCTCATTACAGTAACTGTTAACAATCATGTTTTGAAATCAAAAACGACCTATCGGGGCAGGAATATAAAGGTGAATCGCATTAAATCCCACATATTACGCTCGAAGGAACATTTTTATATATGTGATGTAAGTTTGTTAAATTAAACGAGGACATTATATATTTCTAGACTCAATTCATTTACAGAACTGTGGTGTATGTACTTGGGATGGTGCCCATTCCATACACAGCAGTGTTATGGAAAATGTCCTCTACGGTAACTGCGAAACTGCTGCTGCTTCTCGATTTTAAACGCTTAATATAATAAACAAATCATTGCGACTGAACTTTTTGCATTGTGGTGGTCTATGAATATTGTTTTTTTTTTATTTCTCAGACATATAAGCATCTTTTTATATACATACATAGTTCTATATGTAAAAGTGTATACATTTGTATTCTTGAAATCGATGAAATCTTAATTTCGTGTTTTTTTTCTTCAAATATATACCCATTCTTATACATACAAATGTATATTCGTATTTTTAAATTAGTACAAAATCAACAATATTACAAATAATAAAAGTACATTGAAGTGAATTAAGAGTACATGAAGGAAACGAAATACAAATTAATTAATGCATATGTATGTTAGTTTATACATACATACATAAATTTAATCTAGAAATAATGATAAGAATGATGTAGTGTAGTGTTCAAGTCTCAATACAAATGAGACATACATACAAACATACGTACATACATATGTGTCTGTAATAAATGAATTTAATAAAAAGATGGCGGAAACTATATGAAATTTGTATTTTATTTACGTATCGTTTGCACAAATTCTTAGGCCGGCAGACTGTATTGTTAACATAGTATGGAAAGGGCGTATCGTCGCTGAAATGCAAAAAAAGCCTCAACTAAATTTTTTTTTTTGCATAAAACGATGTGGGGACTTATAATTCGATGAAACGCATCATAATCAATCAAAATGTGAATTTTGGATTTTTACTTAGTTAAAGCTTTTTGTATAAGCTGTATGTATAACGATATGTACATACAAACATATATGTAATTATCACCCTCCGTTGTAGAATGGAACAAGTTAATAAGTACGTATTAACATATATTTGTCAGCGTACTTTGGCTGCGTTTCTGGATTACTATATACTAGGGCTAGAAGTTCTATACGGATTTTTTGTAATCTCAGGAATACGGATGTTCGAATATCTGATTTAAAAATCCGAATAACCGGATAACGAAATTATCGAATATCAACCGAATTTCCAGTTTTTCGCTTAATACTGGATACAAAAATAAACCCTTTTCCCGAAAGTCCTGAAAATAGCGAAACCATTCAGAACATTCTGAAATAATCTCGAAATTTCGAAAATTATCGTAAATCGTAAATTAAGAATCCTGAAAAATACTGAAAACTTACAGAAATGTAGCCAAAAAATACCAAAGTTCCTAAAATAATACCGAAAAGTAAAGCACGAACCGTTTAGTATGTAAACGGGTGGCCTTATTTTGACCAGTTTTGGGTACATTTGTTTGTGTTTTTTAATGTTTAATATTCTTTTTATATAAGCGTAGCTCATTATATAATAAACTGTGAACACGAGTAAATGCGCATTTCAATCC